AGGCCTCTGTCATACGGGTGCCACCGCGTGTGCGCGGTGGCCAATCGGAGTCTAGCGTACAACCGTTGGTTGGGACGGTCTCGAGTATCGAGACCGTCTCGACACTGCATGCCCACATCAATCAATCAGAGTTATAATTCCTACTAATAGGCACCGCCCCGTTACAGGGACAGTATCGAAAACAGGAGTAGTACTTGCGTGGTCACTGTATTTACATCAGCTAAGCCTGTATCGCCTGGAACTGTTGTACCTGTCGGTGTTGGTGATGGAACTGGCTGAAGAGGCGGCGGCGATGGGGAGTGTACACAGTATTGTGAGTAATGTCGCCGAACTTTTTCATTTGCATATCCCGTTTATACAGTGTAGGCATTTGAATATGCGTTTGTGTATATTCGAAAACAAACTGGACAGCCCGTCCAACTACCGTCCGGCGAGCATCCATCATCTGCTGAACTAATTTAGGGTAATTGGTAAGAGATTGTGTACAATCTCTTAAAAATTTGAGTCGTAACTTAAGGTTTTTGAGTCAAATCTAAGGTCTGGTACTAATAATCGTTTAACCGTGTTGTCGAGGACTTTAGAACTCTACCGAGATTTCGTAACATGTTACCTGCAACTGGATGGCTTTAAGCTTCCTCCGGACTGTTGTTCAATTCGTTATATCTCTGAGATGTTTTGTTTGCCAGAATTCTTAAGCGAGCGTCCTCGTGAAGTATATCTTTCTTTGGCTTGAAATACGCGTCAAAGTCGTCGGTTGATGGTGCTCTGCCAATCCAGTGGAGTCCATTTCTAGTACGAACTCGAGAGAGTGAGACGTACATCGCGTGACGATCGACTTTGCGCAGATGTGGCGGGAGGAGGTTGCATATCGCGATGCGTTCGCGTGTTTCACCTTGAACGCCGTGCACGGTCACACCAAAAGCTGGTACTAGTGGATATGTCTTCATCGAGATAGAGCGTCTATTGTACTTGAAGGATCCTCGGGTTTGATATAACGGCAAGACTGTGTCCGGCCAATCGGCGGATAGACCTGGGAATCGAGCCGGCGATTGCGGCGCATTCGGTAATTGTACGTACACATTCAACGGCGGTGCGCCTGTTGATCCATTGGCTACACCTTTTACGAAGCACTGATTGCTCTTAATTCGAATCGGCATTCCTGTAAGTAAAATGTAAATTAGTCGTGATAAGTGTAACGTGAAGTAGCCGCAAAAGCTAGCCAACGTAAAGAGGCAAAAACACCTGGACACCTCCGGTTTGACTGGCCGGAAGAGATCGAATTTTAATCAGGTCCAACGATGTGATATCACTTGATAGCTGTGCGGGTGCAACGTATACGCGTCGGGAAGAGACTAGCGTCGCAGCTGCAATTTTGGTAGCCATATTGTTCGTTGCTGATCTGGTAACGTTGTCGCTTGAGACGACTTGGATGAAGTCGTGTACAGATGAACAATTATACGCGTCAGCTCTCGATTGAATAAATGCACGAAACTCGGGGGTCCACTCTCCAAGACGAGCTTTCGCCAGCCAAAAACCCCATTCCGGGTCATCATTGAAGCGCATGCTCTCGTCTAAATACACCACTTTGGTGATTGCTTGATAAAGGTTTGCTCCGTAATCTTGATTGGGGGAAAATGGCTTAGCTGGGCTTGATGTCTTAAAAAGCGGAACACCTCTCACGGATAAAAGCTGACAATGATCAAACATCAGCACAGCAATAAGTCCTCCGAACGGTTTAGAGTTCTCCTTCAGGTGACACAGTGCTTGACCCCAAAGCCCAAGCAGAACTAGATCTGCCATTGACATTTCGTCTGCTATAATACACAGCACTGGATCCCACTTCTCAAGCTGTTCTTGTGACGGATGTTGAAGGTGCTTTGGTAATCTTGTCTGATTAATACCAAGACCGACAGAGCTGTGTATTGTGGTTCCACGAAGTGTTGCTGCTGCAATTCCGGTTAAAGCCGTCACCATAACTGCGTTCGGACGAAACCAAGCTGTGGCGAGGCCTCGTACTGCGTCGACAATTTTAGACTTACCAGTTCCACCTGGGCCTGTTAGCGATAATGGTGAGTCGTCAAATAGATTGGATGTTTCGGACGCCAACTGTTCGGTCACCATCTTCCGCAGAAGCGGAACTGCAATTAACACGAACGCCATGTGCTGCTTGTGATTCAGTGTATAAAAACGGGAGACTTCACCAATACTGGCGAATGGGGAAATGAGCGTGGTCTCTACGTTTGTAGTGGAAAATGGAGATCAGCGATTGCGTCATTGAGTCGTTTAACCAGAACATTCGCTTCTTCGGCTGCTGGCGCTTCGGTCAAATTTGCAGTTGCTTCTTGCTGGTCGTCTACCATGGTGTTTACAAAGCTGGTTACATCGGCCTTGTTTACAGAGTGCTGAATAACTGTTCTTGTACGCGTCATGTGTGCTGGTAGATCAGCACTTCGTATGAACCCATTGAGCATGGTGCTGTTATTTCGTACTCATTTGGCACAGCTGGCATAGGCTCAATGTCTTCACTCCCATCGAGTTCTTGAGCCTGGCTGTATATATCCGCTGGTACCGGAACTAGATCATGAGTGCGTTACCTCGTTCATCGTGGTCATTTCGCCGAACGA